GCTCTGAAGGAGAAACGGAGTCTGGGTCGGTTCTGGACCAGAAACAGAACTGGGCTTTGATTATTAATTAATTTGTAATCAGGATCAATTTTCACGGCTGTAATGAAGTTAAACTCAGTTTATCGTTTATCCAGAGCTTTTTACTGAGCAGACAGAGCAGATTTAAATTTATTAAACTTGACTAAATATTAAAGAAAGTGACCCGAATCCTGTTTATTACTGAAATGACAAAACAAACTGAAAACTAGATTTAAATTAGAGCCGAAACAGAAACAAACAAAAAAGAGGAAAACATTTTCTACAAAACAAACGGCTGCCTCCAGCGAGAGGCGGGGTCACCTGGACGGGTCACCTGGACGGGTCACCAGTCCATCGCAGGGCAACATGTTTCTGGACTGGGTGGACAGAACCAGCATGAACATGGAGAAAGACCTGGGCCGGGAATCGAACCCACAACCTTCTGCTGCAACAGTGCCACCCACTGCACCACGGTGCAGCCCCCTTTACTATGATGATGATGATGAAGCGTGTCGTTGGGTTAGAGGGGGAAACAGAACCGACCTGGAGGTTCTGAACTGGTTCTGGACTCCAACTCAGTGGTACCAGCTGCAGTCGGACGGAGAATCTTCCTCCAGAACCAGAACAGAACTGGGCCGCCCACAAGCTAAACAAAGGCGTGTCTGGATCAGGGCGGGTCAGAACAGCCCGTTTCTGGTCCAGTCCAACCGGTTCCACTGTGGAGACGCTGAATAAACCCATTGTACCGGTTCAGTGGATCAGATGCTCAGCAGGGGGCGCTGCAGCAGAGCAGAGCTGAAAGAACCAGAGTCAGATATTAAAATCGATGATCGATTGGAACTTAGAAACTCTGAAGCTGAAAGAACGAAAAATGAACCCAAAACTGAACAACAAACATTTTACATTTAATTTAAAAACATTTTTAGTTTTTGTTTCATATTCTGGAAATAATCTATTAATCACCTTTTGTTCCACTTATTAATCAATAATTCATCCTTGGAGCAAATGTTCACAGGAATGATGTTATTGCATTTAAGGCAATAAACATTTTTATTCTTGAGAAAAGGAATTTAATTATCAAATAAAAATCTGCAGAATGAGTCAATTTTTTATTCGCTTAATTGATTTAATCGTTACTAAATAAATGAACTAACAGGATGTCTTAATCAGTATTCTGGACGGGTTAATCTGGACCAGAACCATTCAGAACTGGTCCAATCTCTGTTTCCAGGACAGTGAGCTGGAGAAAATCACCAGGCGGTTCACCATCGAGCTCGCCAAGAAGGGATTCATCGGTGAGGAAACCAACTTCCTGTTCATAAGCCCCGCCCACCTCACAGACAGGGGCTGGTTCTGACCCTCCGTGTGGTTCTGCAGGGCCTGGTATCGTCGTTCCGGCTCCGGACATGAGCACCGGGGAGCGGGAGATGTCATGGATCGCTGATACCTTCGCCACGACCATGGGACACTACGTGAGTCTGGGCCGGAACCAACTGACCCGACCCTGGTTCTGACCCGACCCTGGTTCTGACCCGTCTACCCCTCCTCAGGACATCAACGCCCACGCCTGTGTGACGGGGAAGCCCATCAGCCAGGGCGGGATCCACGGCCGGATCTCTGCGACAGGCCGCGGCGTTTTCCACGGCATCGAGAACTTCATCAACGACGCGTCCTTCATGAACCGGGTCGGGCTGGCGCCGGGCTTCCAGGACAAGACCTTCGTCATCCAGGTACGACCGGCACCGCCCGGCCCGGTGGGGTCCGGCGTCTCCGCTCTGAGCCAATCAGCTGCTCCTCTGCTCTCAGGGCTTCGGGAACGTGGGCCTCCACACCATGCGCTACCTGCACCGCTTCGGCGCCAGGTGTGTGGGCGTGGCCGAGATGGACGGCAGCATCTGGAATCCGCGCGGCATCGACCCCAAGCAGCTGGAGGACTACAAGTTGGTGGGTGGGCGCCCCCCGCAGGCCGCGCTCTGGTCCAGAACCGCGCCCTAACGCTGCTCCCTGTCTCCAGGCCAACGGGACCATCGTGGGGTTCCCGGACTCGACGCCGTACGAAGGCAGCCTGCTGGAGGCCGACTGCGACATCCTGATCCCCGCTGCCAGCGAGAAGCAGCTGACGCAGCGCAACGCGCACCGCGTCAAGGCCAAGGTACCGGCAGAACCGGGCCACAGGTCGACTGGATTCTGGTCCAACTGGTTCTGACTCTGTAGCTGTCAGGTTTCCTGTTTTCAAATGAAATGACCGTTTTTTTTTACCGATCTTTCCCATAAATCTCCTGTATTAAAACAAATTTAAAAAAATAAACAAATCCTGTTTGTAAAGTTACACTGTAAAAAATGAACAGCAATATTTGGGTTTATTTAGCAGGACGTGCAGAAACACGTGGGAGTTAATTTACAAAGTCATGTTGTCACAATGTTAGTCACACATTCATAAATGAGTTCATGACTAAATATTTAGTTATGAAGCTAAATATTCAGCTTCATAACTAAACATTTCTCTTTCCAGTTTGACGTTTATTTTGCCGATCAGATCATCTGTTCTGGTTTTAAAAACGACCCGGCTGCATTTGGACCGCGCCTGGTTCTGGTTAGTCAGTGGTTCACTGGAGGTTCTGTTGGAGTTCTGATAAACCCGTCTGATGCTGGATGTCAGCTGTTCTTCTGGGTTGGATCCAAAAGTTTCTCTGGGTTTAAATCCAAAACTTGACAAGTATACTCTCTGGTTCTGACCCGGTTTCTCTCTGGTTCTGACAGATCATTGCAGAGGGAGCCAATGGGCCGACCACGCCTGAGGCGGATCGGATCTTCCTGGAGAGGAACATGCTGGAGATACCGGTCAGTGGGGGGTCTGGTTCTGTTCTGGTTTTTGGTTCTGGTTCTGGTCTGAGCTGCGGTTTCGTACCCAGGACATGTACCTGAACGCGGGGGGCGTCACCGTGTCGTACTTTGAGTGGCTGAAGAACCTGAACCATGTGAGCTACGGCCGGCTCACCTTCAAGTACGAGAGGGATTCGAACTACCACCTGCTGAGTCAGCGCCGCACTCTTCATCATCACCATCATCATCGTCATGGTGGTTCTGGTTCTGACCGACCCGTTTCTCCTCAGTGTCCGTCCAGGAGAGTCTGGAGAGGAAGTTTGGAAAACTGAACGGCTCCATTCCAGTTGTTCCCACCTCGGAGTTCCAGGACCGGATCTCCGTAAGTATTCACACCCCGCAGAAAGTATTCACACCCCGCAGAAAGTGTGTGTCAGATCTAAACACACACACCAGCAGTCGTTGGTTCACATCAGCATTCCCTCAGTCAGGAGCACTGAACGTTTCAGGTCTCAGCAGCGCCACACAGAGGAACCTGCTGGTACAGCAGAAAGTCCCACCCACACACAGGAACACCTTTACCACAGCCAATCAGAGGGGAGTCCCGCCTCTGATTGGCCGAGACCTGGACACGTGTCTGAACCTCAAGGAGAAGCGAACATCTTCCTCGTCCTCCTCTTCCTCGGTGCTGACCTGTCCCGTTCTGCTGCAGGGAGCGTCTGAGAAGGACATCGTCCACTCGGGCCTGGCCTACACCATGGAGCGCTCTGCCAGGGTAACACACACACACACACACACACACACACGCAATATGAGCAGCTGCATCATTTGAGTCGCAGTGCCCTCTGGTGGATGGAGCTTTTATTCTGAAAATCTTGTTTCCTGCAGCAAATCATGCAGACGACCAGCCGGTACCAGCTGGGTCTGGACCTGCGGACGGCGGCGTACGTCAACGCCATCGAGAAGATCTTCAAGGTTTACAGCGACTCTGGGCTCATCTTCACATAAGGTTCCGGTTCTGGTTCTGGTTCCAGACGCTACCCGCCTCCCTTGGTGCTCCTGCTGCTTCCTCGCTCCTCTTCCTCGCTCCTCTTCCTCACAGCCCACCGGACCGCAGAGCCGCCACTCACTGAGGCCTTCAGATGGATCAGAACCATGTGGACCGGCCGGATCAGGGAACGCCTTGACTTCAACTCCGAGTTGTTCTGATGGACCGAACCAGGAAGTTCCTTCCAAAATAAAAGCCCTCTGGCAGGATAAAAGTTCTGCTGCAGTCAGATGGACTGGGTCAGAACCACTGACTGGTTCTACTTGACCTCCACATAGTTCTGGTCACATGTTTACATACACCTTGTTTACGTTTCTGTTACTTTAATCAACCCGGTTAATGGTTCTGGTTCTGGTCGGGTTCTTGGCTCCTCCAGATGGTTCTCTCTCCTCCGATTTAAATTCTGCTGCTTAGATTCAACAAACCGACCTAAAACTCTCAGGCCCGGTTCTGGTCCCAAAATGAAATCCAAAACCTCCTGAACCTTTCCAGTAGAGGACAGAACCCGACCAGAACCAGAACCGGATTCCCATCTGTCTGATCATGAATGTGTTTTGACCAAAGATCGCCCTAAAAGCTGCTGCTTTTTTCTACGCTTTTTTCTACATTTTTACAACAAAATATTTAAAAATTTAACTTAAAACTAGATTTTATTTTCAAAAATTATCTGAAAACAGATTTATTTTTGATTTGGAGAAAGAATCAACTTTGCCAAAGTGACTTTGCACATTTTCCATGGCTGGCCCAAGCCTTTTTGGGGCCCTGAGCAGATCTTCTCTAGGGGCCCCAGACCAACATGTCAGCACCCAATATGTCATCATTTCTAGGCTACACGGAGCGTTTAGCATCATTATTATTATGGATGTTGATTTTTAACCTCTAAAAATCAACATCCTAATTAGCATTTTGAAAAGACGAGTGGTGCTTAATGGTGGCAAATTAATAAGCAATATGCAAACAATGTTTATGAAATAACTGAACTTCTGTTCATTACTTCTATATTTTATGTTTTAGTCAGATTTGTGTTATTGAAGACATTTAATTTGATAGTAAACAACCCAAACAAATGAAATTTTTAAGATTTACAATGAATGTAAGCTGGTAAAGATCAGTTGCTCCAACTGAACTCGTTCATATTTAGATGTTTTTTTCTCAGAAACGCAGTAATGACACAATCTGTTAATCTGTAAAATTATTAATCTGTAAAATTCTCCCTCAGGTTCAGTTCCTCTGTGGACTGAAAGTCTTTTTATTTTTCTGATCCTGATCTTAAGTTCTGTTCATTTCTTCTGTTTCTGAACTTTCAGTTTCTCTGTAAGAATCTATGCAAACGCAGGTGGCTCCCCCTGTCGGCGCCTTGTGAAAGCTTGGGGCAATTTGTTTATGCTGCATGAAAAATTATTTTTCTGATCTGTCTCCTTTAACTCAAGCTGCTCTTCTTCTGTATTCAGGGGTTGGTTTAGCTTTTTGTGAGAACAGGAAGTTAAATAAAGCACAAACCACTTCCGGTTGTTTTCTCTCATTTTGTTACATCACTGTAGCCTTTGAAAGTCTGGAACATGTTCAAACTGAAGCTATCAGGATTATTCTCAGAATAAAATAAGGATTAAGTGCATCAATTTTGTTTATTCGTTTTAATTAAAATCTTTGGAGCACTGTCTTTAAATTTGACGAGTTTAGTTTTAATTACTGCATAAAAGTATAAAAATCTATTTGTTTTCCACTAATTTACCATAAATCCTTTTTATGATGCTTATTTTGATCGTTTTCTCCACTTGTTCTTTCATCGGGGGGCGGGACTTAAGCTCGTGTTCCCACCAATCAGCTGGCCGTGTTCCCGCCGTGGCTCCGGAATTCCCCTGCAGGTTCGGGGATTTCCGACTCCACTGACAGCCTGAGGTCACCATGACAACGGGTCTGAGCTGCGTCAAGCCGAAGCAAAAGAGAGGGACAAGCATTTCCGATCCCGTTTGTTGCTTCAAAATAAAACCAGTAAAAGTGGCCTAACTTCAGGAAATTACTTTACTGTTTGAGTCCCTGAAGGACAGCGGTGTCCAGAACGAGTCCTGCAGGTCCTCTGTAGTCCATGTGTCTCCGGTCCAACTCAGCAGAACCAACAGATCGGTTCTTCAACAGAACTCTGGAGAACCGGAGGCCTGGTGGAGGAGCAAACCCCTCCCCGGGAACCACTGTCCCACCTCCCCTGGAGGTGGGACAGTGTCCCTGGAGGACAGCAGTGGAACACCAGCTGTCCTGCACCTGCTACTCAAATGAGCAACAGACAAAAAGCAGCGCAGAAACAAAAACACATCGCAGGTTTGATTTTGAAAATCCCGAACCGGAAGTCCCCCATTCTCCTCGTGCGCCAGTTTGACACTTCTGGGTTCAGTTCGGGAGTTTTTGCGAACTGAATCGGACAGTCAGATCGAAGGAAGAAACCAGGTAAAAACTCACATTTTTACTGCTAAACGGTTCCAACGGAACCAAAACAGTCCGGACGGGTTTAAATTGGAGTCTAAATCTAAGCTAAAACACGAGGCTAGACTCAAAAATCCGTTGAATCCACCTTCAAAGTCCGGTAATTATTCGAACCGAAGCTGAACTCAAAGTATCACTGGTTCGGATGAAAGAATCCCGGTTCTACGGGCGCCGAACCCGTTTAAATGGGGTCAGCTAATGTTTACTGGTTAAAGCTGGGTTTCAGTAATCCTGGTTCTGTTCTTAGGAGGTTCTGGGAAAATGACGAAATCACATCGATTATTGATCGATTTTAATTTTACATGGCTTCTGATTTGATGTCTGTGATTGTTCTTACGTAAAATAATTTTAAAATAATTCAGATTTTTATCATAAATATCCTGATGTTTCCCGGATGTTTTTATTGTGGAATCCTTTTATTTTGAAATCTGGGAGTAAAAGGAAGTCCCGAACCAGCAGAAGGTTCTCCATGACCCGGTTGAGCTGTAGAACCTGCCTGGTCTTTGGACTGGTGGTTCTGGTTCTGATTAGTTCTGGTTCCAGGCTGGACCAGGAGGTTCTAGAGGTTCTGGACCTGCTGAGCAGTTGATGGTCCTATCGGGTCGAGAGGAGGAGGTCCTTGGCCGGCGCTGATCCGATCTCCTGACTCTCGTCATGTCTGTTTGTGTTTTGCAGGAAAAACCCGGCAGGAGGAAGATCCAGTCCTCCTCTTCCTCACCTCCAGACATGGCCGGAGCACTCAGGTACATCTTCATCACACCTACCCGGGTCAGAACCTCCAGAACCCCCTGGGTTCTGCTGGTCCTGCAGCGATGGACTGAGCATGCTCAGTAGAGCCCCTTGTGACCAACCAGAGGTCAGCATCATGACCAGAACCTTCCTGGATCTCCAGAAACGGGTCACCAGAGATCGCGGCGTGCTGCAGAGGCGTTGCCACGGTGACGGGTTTCACAGAAACCGTCAGTAAAATCTCCCGCCGTGGATTCCTGCCGACTTCCCCTTCAGGTTTCTGTCCTCACGCTGCGCTCTGATTGGCTGGCGCCACGCTGGGGGCCGTCCCTGCGCCGGGGGGAGGAGGGGGGTAACCGGGCCTTGGGTCGGTTCTGACTCACAGGCAGCCGGGTTTTTCTCTGAGAGACAGGAAGTCAAAAACCACCAGACAGGAAGTAGACAAACACAGAACATCGGGTCTGCTTCTGACTGCTGGAGGTTCTGGTTCTGGTTCTGGCTGCTGGTTGGTGTCTCCTCTTCCTCACTGTGTTCATTCATCATCATCGGGCCTGGAGGTTCTGAAGATGTCAGAGTGTCTCTCGTCCTGGTTCTGGTTCTCATAATGGTTCTGGCTCTTCCTGCTTAGTGCCGACTTCTCTGGTTGCCATAGCAGCAGTGTGACATCATCAGCAGGCTGGAAGCCCCGCCCCTTTCTGCTCTGGGATTCTGGGGGTTTTCCTGAAGTCTGCTTCCAGGAAGTGACTGAAACAGGCGGGGGAGGGGGGAGCTTCTGTTTGTTAGCTTTTATTTGGATCTGAGGCGGTTCTGCCGGGCCGACCCAGAACACACACACACACACACACTCACACTCACACTCACTCGTGTCTTACTGTGTTTCTGCTGCAGGATGACTGAACCTCAGTTCGTGAACTACGGAGACGACAACATGGTGAGTTCCTGTCTGACATCAGGAGGTTCTGATCAGGATCTGATGGTTCTGATCCGATGTCTTTTCTTCTGCAGCAGTTACCAAGCTTCCTCTCCTGTGACTTCATTCCTCCGATGGAGATCAAGACGGAGCCGTACATACCTGAGACAGGTGAGCTGCTCTGGCTTTAGCCCCGCCCACTAAATCTCCTGCAGGCCCAGCAGACCAGAACAGAGCCAACTGGACCGGGTCAGTGGAGTCGTGGTGTTCCACAGGGAGGAGTCCCCAGAACCCTTCAGATCCCTCTCTCTCTGGTACCAGACCCACTGGCTGCTGGTACCATATCTGCTCTCTGGTTCTGGTTCTATGTAGCAAGTTGTTCTGGGTCAGAACCACGGCCTCAGCAGCCAGCATACTTTTTTAGAACCCATCTTTAATACCTGGAACCCGCCGGTCCAAACCGTCCCAGAACCCGTACCAGAACCCCCAGTGGTCCAGTGGCCGACCCGGCACCAGGCAGTCCAGAACCTTCCAGAGAAGCTTCAGGGAAACTGTCAGTCAGTCAGCCAGCGGTTCTGACCCGGTTCTGTTCTGTGTTGCAGCTCACGGTCCGTACATCCAGATCATCGAGGAACCCAAACAGGTGAGTCTGACCCACAACGAGCAGAACCTGCTGGTTCTGGTTCTGTCTGAACTCAGACCTCTGGTCCGGTTCCAGGACTTTTTACAGCTTTCAGTCCAACAGAATAATTATTACCTGGTTAATCAGAACCTCTGTAATGATGACCAGAAACGGGAAGAAGAACCTCCGGGTTGTTTGACCTTTGACCCCTGAGGCTACGTTTAGCAGCTCTTACTTTTACGACTCAACGACAAATTTTCATTTAAATTTCTGAAACAGAATCCGAATGTTTGAAGCTCGAGGTTTACGATAAATTCATTAAATCGTTAAAATACAAACTGTTTCTAATGCTGAAGATAATTAATTACATTTATATTTAGCTATTTCATTTAATTATTGTACGGTTCCTGTTCCTGCAGTGTCGCCATGACATGATTTGAGCTGTCAAACCAGAAGCATGGATGGGCGGGGCTAATGTGGATCTGTTTTTATTTTAATGATTTATTTACATGTTTAATAAATTTATTGTCCACTGATTAATTTAGACATAAACATATTTCATTGTACATTTAATTAATGATGTATTGATGTATTTATTTAATAAACTTTGTCCCTTTTGGCCCTCCATACAGAAGCTTTCTGGAAATATAATGTTAATAAACTCATTACAGGTTTAAAATAGTTTCTTAAAACATTTATATTTTGCCTTTTAAGTTGTTTTGTTATATTTTTAGTTATGTTATTTAGGATTTAGTTATGTTTTTATATGTTGAATTTTGTCCCTACTTGCCTTCCATACCTCTGGCTGTGTTTCTGGCGTTCCTCATGGCTGTTCAGCCCACACCTGTTTCTGTGTTTCAGTCATGATGCTGATGACGTCATTAGTTCACAGATTATTTTTAATTTTAGACACAAACATTCAGTTTATTTATCTGCCAAAATATTATTTAGACTATGAAATCACAGAAAGCGGATTAAAATAATGAGAAACATGGCCGCCTGGAGAGGGATTGTTATCTAAAACTACAGAGCAGGAAGTCATCAGATCTGTTCGTGTTTCCAGGATGTTTATGTTCAGATTTAATAAAATGTGTAAAATAAATTTTAAAGTTCTGCTGTTAGAACCTCAGAGTGAAGCTGGAAAACTCTGGGAACATAAAACCGTTCAGGTGGGAATTCCAGAAAAACGGGTGATTCCCCCTCGGCCGTTAGCGTGTCACTTCCATTTACTGACAGGAAGTGATGCAGGTCACATGACTCACCCTGCAGCACATGCTCAGTGGGGTTTGGTTGGGGCTGGTTCTGGTTTGGACCTGGTTCTGCTCTGACCCAGTTCTGGTTCTGCCACTGCAGAGGGGGTTCCGGTTCCGTTACGAGTGCGAGGGCCCGTCCCATGGCGGGTTGCCGGGGGCGTCCAGCGAGAAAAACCGGCGGACTTACCCGACCGTGAAGGTGAGCACCCAATCAGAACCAGCCTGCGCTCCGATCCAGTTCTGGTTCCGGTTCTGTTGACACCGGCGACGTTCTGGTCCGCAGATCAACAACTACGTGGGCCACGCCCGGGTGGAGGTCCAGCTGGTGACCCACACCGACCCGGCCCGGGTCCACGCTCACAGCCTGGTGGGACGCCACTGCAACGAGAACGGGACCTGCAGCCTGGACATCGGACCCAACGACCTGACCGCCTCGTCAGTACCAGAACCCAAACAGAACCACAACCTGCTAATAAGCGCTCACAACTGCAGTGATGATGTCACTTCCTGCAGGTTCAGCAATCTGGGAATCCTCCATGTGACCAAGAAGGGCGTGGTCGAGGTTCTGACCCGACGGCTCCGAGACGAGAGGCGGAGACAGAAAGGAACTCACTGTCCGCTCA